TTTATGTGCTTCTTAGATGCCTCCAAAGCTTTTGACCGAGTGAATCACAGGAAATTATTCCAGAAACTGTGTGACGCCCAAGTACCTAAATATATAATGAGATGTTTGTCATACTGGTATGCCCACCAGACTATGTTTGTTAGATGGGATAACTGTATATCTGCGCCTTTTCAGACCAGTAATGGCGTAAGACGAGGTAGTCTGCTTTCCCCAATTTTGTTTAATTTTTACATGAATGATCTGTCTAAAGAATTAAATATGTGCAGAATGGGATGTATGGTCGGTGACAAAGTTGTGAATCATTTAATGTATGCAGACGACCTTGTGATTTTTAGTCCCAGCTCAGCAGGTCTTCAGCAGCTCTTGAACGTGTGCTCAATGTTTGGGGAACATCACGATGTCAAGTATAATGCTATTAAAAGTGTCAGGTTCTGAGTATTGGGAGTAAAACTGGCTTTGTTTAAAGCTTATTGTACTTCCTTGTACACTGCTCATCTGTGGTGTAATTATAAAAAGGGCAGTCTTCGGAAACTGTCAGTAGCTTACAATGACGCCCTAAGGATATTATTGAGAAAGATGAACGAGTGCAAGTGAATTGTTCGTGTCATCTCGAGTTAGTACATTTTCCGCTGTTTTAAAAAACCTGATGTTTAAATTTATTTGTCACTTGAATGGTTCAAAAAAAATCATATCATTTTATTGTTGACTAATGTTGCACACAGTGACATGCGTTTTACTTCGGTTCTCTGGAAACACTGGTATACCTGTCTTTTAAAGGGGCAGAAGTTTTATGGGTGTTCTTGTGCTCTCGTTTTTATGTATTTTCTGTTTTTATTGTTTCGTTTTTAAACTGTTCTTTTATTGCTTTTATTTGTTTTGAACCTGGACCTTGAGTCTGTAATAAAGTGTCATCATCATTATCATTGTCACATAAACAGTAACAGTCAACACATGTCTGCAGAACTGCAGTGGATCCTGATTCAGTGCTGTCAGTAGCTGCTATGTGTTTTAACAGCCACAAGGAGGTGACAGGATAATCACAAGCTAATGAAAATATTGGTTAAGAAGTCAGGGACTGGGAACAATAGGTGAGTCACTTTGTGGATCCCTGAGGTTCCTCATGACAAAAAAAACAAGTGAGATGGAAAGGTTTTTTTAATCTTATTTTGCCATGGGGGAGGAAGTGAATCCCTGTTAGCTGCAGACTGCTTAAATTAATGGCGTCCCCTACACCAACATCTGTTGAGACTTGATCTGTGCTCACCATCTATCATATAAGGCTGCCAGTGCAAAGACAGCACCTAAGCTCACCAAAGCTTCCATCCAATTCAGGCTCCAAATCTTCAGGCGCGGTTCCCTGACCTTAGTGGTTATGAGGTCAGTTATTCCATTCTTAGTCATTTGGTGATAACACACTGCCATTATGTGAGAAAAATGTAAGTGTGTGTGTGAGGTTAGAAGCTGGAAGGTCTGTGTGATCTTTTAATGAAAGATAAGTGACATAATTTAAGTTCCTCTTATTATTTCATAACCAAAAGAGGCAAGTACATAGGCAGGTAAGGGCTCATGTCAAGTATGCTCCTTCACAAGCACACAATGCTCACTCATATGCACAAACACATGGAAGTGTGCACACTCACACACAGATATTCAGCTGAATGCTCCGTGCTGATGTTTTCTTGTGAGATGTCATTACACGATAAAGAGGAAGCCATCAGGAAACCGCTTAAGCACTACTTCCTGTCTGTTGCCACGGTGACAGACCTCATTCCGCTGTTGCAAAGTTTACTATGACTTTACTCAAATTAATTTCTTTCAGAAAGGCTGAGTGGGAAGCAAAACAAAGAGGCAGGTGTACTGGGATCTCCACTGCACTCCGGTGGGCTGGTATCCTGTTTAGGCACTCCTTAGTCCAGCTGTGTCTCAGCCTGTGCTTTAACGCCAACATCTGACAACAATTACTATTCACGAGTGCTCATTGGATGGGCCTTTTAGAATGGCCTGAGCCTCAGCTAGTTGCCACTGAAATAAATCCATGCAGCTGTAGAACCAGGGGACACTTCCTGACTCTAAATGAATTGTTGAATCAATGACTTCAGACTGACGTGTTTGCAGTAGCTGCTAAGACTGATTAATCTATTAATAATACCAGGCTCAATATTGGTTACAACCTATAATGCCCTGTCCTGTATCTATATTTCACTTGCTCAGATAAGACTGTAAAGGCTGACAAGTTTTATGGCAACCAGTTCAAACAAAGCTTCATTCACAAGATTGATATCGACCTTCAGATTTTATTAGCCTGTGCTGTGACTATAGTGAAACTCACCGCTTTATGTGAAATTGTTTTATAAAGTGTACTTTTCACCATGATAAATTATTTATAAGGGACACAGTGTACTAAATTACATCGCTGTGATGTAAATGTGCTATATTGTGTCAGTAATATTTGTCATTACAGTTATAGAAAATAAGAATTTAAATAAAGACAAAATTTCAACCACTGAAAGCGATCAAGAGAAAATTACAACACCTTAAAGTGTTAAAAACAAACAAAAAGGCTGTCAGCATTCAAGTACATGTAGAAAGATGCAGTATAATATATATATAATATATCACAGTAACACAAGCAGATATATGAGCCAGAGAGCTGTGGCTATGTGCACATGTGTGAGACTGACACACACCTTGAATACGTGGTGCCCAGCTGCACTGACAGGAGCCCCATTCCAGTGAGGGTGAACACAAAAAGGGGTTAAGCTGGTCCCTTTTCAAATGGCTGCATCATTGGATTATTGCTAAATTCTTTCTTGGGTTTTCACTTGTCAGAACAAGCAGAGTCACAGCGTCAGCATTACACAGAAGAGCAGAAGGACAGACAGACAGATTCAGAGAGAGTGTGTTGAGTGAGGGCGAAAGAAAAACAGTGGTTTTGAAGTTTTGAATTTGAATTTCAGAAAGAAACACAAGACCGGCTAGAGAGGGGGGGGGGGGGGGGCGGGAGGGGAGCAATGAGGGGTGTGTCATAGCAATTTAGTTCCTCAAGGAAGTACAACTCAACATTATCTTAAGACAGGGTGGCAGGCACTGACAGAAGCACTGAAGGAGAGCTGTTTTGGGGTTTTGGCTTTGCTCATGGTAAAGATGAAGGGATCTCTTTAAATCAGCTGGCCGGTGCCATCAACCTGAAACACAGCAGGGGGAGAGAGCGATATCTGCCACAGACAAGGAGGGAGGGGGACTCGGCACACACACACACAGGTAGGACACTTCTGTCTTGTTCATGATCCGGTAAAAATAAATCCTCTGGGCCCAGAATAGTGTTACGCCTTTTTTTGTTCTTGGAAAAATGAAGACTAACTGATGGCGCCCAGCAGAGACAGACTCAGTGGAGGGATGACTGGAACAAACTCTCCACTTCCCCATTGTGAGTTGGGAGATATACATGCGTACTCACAGTCATGCTAGAACAAGTACAGTGACATGCACAGATATAGAGCTCATACTTTTGTTTGCTCAGGCTGGGAGTTGCTCAACTCAAATGTCAAGGGAGTAGACCTGCCCTTCTTCACTGGCCTACTTTGATTTGATACAGGTGAAGTCAGAGCCAAAGACTACAACACGTTGTCACAGTGGACAGATACAAGCCGTGAGTCTGTGCTGGTGACAGCCGTTTAGCCAACTGCTGTGTGTTTCGCTTCCCTTTTGAGGCATCGCAGATGGTTGGCAGGCTTGAGCAACAACAACTCAGAAGAGTTGTGCAATGTTGAAAGAGAAACTGCAAAATGCGTTTTTTGAGTATTTCAAAATGCTTTCGTATCTGATTTGTCAAAAAAAGAAGGCAGCTGGCAAACTAAATATGAAATCGATGTAATGCTTACATTCAATTCAATATGTGACTGTAGTAACATACAGTTAAGAGTCACACAAGTTGTGAAAAACAAGCTCTACTCCTCTCAGCCTACTGCCCTGTTGCTCCCAGGTCAAAACACACAATAGAAATGACATTTTGTTCTGGTACAATACTCATCTCACACTGAGCCCCGCTGTGTTCTGGACTCTAGTTATTACTGTATCCTCTCTGGTTCAGAACAACAACAGCAAAAAACTTTCTACCAGTTCAATACAACCCCCTTTGTGGGTCGGTGATGAATTTTCAACAATGGCCTACATGTTTTTACTTGACTGACTGGTTGTTCAACCTGATCACAGGCTGGGGGTAGCTAAACGAGACATAACCCCCCACCTCTCAGTCTCACTGGCTACAACCAAGTCAGCCTAACCCCAGGCCTGCTGAAAGTCACTGATGATGTCTGTCTGTCAAGCTCATGGTAACAAGGCCCTGCTGCACTCTAATAACACAAGGCACATTTTCATTGCCTGAGTCAAAGGAGTCTCATCAGTCACCTCTAAGACCTGTGGCAGGATTCATCTCCACACATGCCGAGAAGTACAAGGACACAAATACACAAAAAGCACTAAAAATACCTGAATGCAAAAACAACCGGAAACCAATTTTACACAAAAATGCACATCCATCCACACGTGCACAAGTTCCTACATGTACACAAACAGAGGCTCAGTGCTAGAGTCATCTGAAGAATGCTAAATATTTGCCTCTTCTGCTTGCCCGGATGGCCCCACCCATTATCACTCTCTCTTTGACTGTCCATTAACTTAACGTTTAAAGATTACTCAGTGTCTGGCTGTTACGGAAACATGCATTTTACTGAAAAAAAAAGAAGAATCGACCTCTGCTCTGTTATTTTCCTTTTATTCTCCTGACAGCTCTCACAGAATACAGGTGCTTCTCGATTCCACTAGGTATTTGGAAGGGAAACAAACACTTGAACATGTAATGCAGTCACTCCCTGGTGGATGTCAACAACAAACTGAGGTATAAAGGACCTCTTCAATCTGTGTACCCGAAACCTGATGCTCAACATTAAAAGCATACTTGATGTGACCGAGTGAATGACATCCATTACAGAGAAGTGATTTTATGGCAATGTGCTGCTGCAACACAACATGTTTCAGTGCTCTCTAAATAGCGTCAAAATCCCTGCTAGATCTACATAACATAAATGGTGTTGATGTACAAAAAGCTATGCAGTGCACAGTCTCCAGATGCAGGAGTTACATTTTACTACATGGAATATTGGCCGGTGACTACACACTGTGCAGATCTCTGAAATCCCTGTAGTCTTTTGAGCAAATAAATGTGATTGGCACGTGACTCTGAAATAGCTATCACACTGCTCTACTTCCATTATCACCGTTAAGGCAAATTAATCTAATGACTGTTCTTTAATTCCCCACAGGGAACCCAAAGCTTTTGTAATGAAGCGAGCCATTAGACGTGACACTTGTTCAAATGTTCACAGTGGTTGTGCATGTAAAATGGAGCCCAGTGAAATTTCCTATAAAGTTTGCTTGTTATGGATGTTGCAGCTGGGATTGGGGTGCACGCCATGGATAGGGAGTCACAGCAGGCTCATTTGCCTTTTTGCATGATATGATTGCTAATGCAACTTAATGACTTTCTCATATATTAGCGAGTGTCAGCTCATAGTGCTGACAGTGCATCATTGAGGTTGAATGATGATAACATCATGATTTGAATAACAAATTCTAATAAGCACAAGCAGCCATGAAAGAAACATTAATGCCACAACTAGACAGTCAATTAACTGTCAGCTTACAGATAACATGCTGTTGCTAATGCACAAGATGCTTCAGTAACATAACGGCTCTTATTTTAACTATAGGCAGATCCCAGACCGGTGTTCTATAGCCATTAGGCCCAGGGTGCTCGCATTGTGTTTTTGCACCACTACTGATCCAATCTGGAAACAGCAGGCATGGGCCTGCCTCAGATATGCAGTCTACATACTCCCTTCAAATACGTGTCCACACAAGCCAGAATTGGGATTCAGGATGGAAAGTTACACTAAATGATGCTCAGTAACTGTTAGATTTCAGGTCTGTTTGCACACCACAAAGTCAAATGATGCAGGAAGTAGGAGAAGCTACAACTCTCAGTAGCACTGATGCATGATAAAGATACTGTACGTCTTTGGTGATTCTGTCTGACAAGTACTTTGGATTAAGGTGAAGTGAGCGTTAAGCATTTAAATAAAACTAAGCTGTTCTTAAGTTTGTGTTTGTGGGATTGGAGATAAATCTTGACATTATCTATCAAACAAGTATTCTACAAGGGCAATTTTTTGCTTCATCTATTGTAAGAGTCACTGTTACTCTGATCCTTTCCATCTTTCTTCGTTATTTGATAATGTGGGACTTTAACCTTGCCCAACCTTTATACACTTTTTGATATAAACACAGCTAAACAAAATGTAAATGCTCCTTCCATTTATGAATTATTCACTCTAAATGCCCTTCACTCCTTTTACATCAGAAATTAGGGAGAAATTCAATGAAATTTAGTCAAACTGTGCTGACAAAGGTAAAGAGTGGGTTTTGTAATTCTGTCCTATGCAGTGTGCTGTGAGCATGCTGATGACCTCTCTGGGGGTGGGGGGTGATTCTGTGATTGATGCTAGGTGTGGTTAAAATCTCAGAGGAGAAATTACAGGTCCATGTGGAGTCTCTTCCATGGTACTTTTCCCTTTTGGCATCATCATATGTGCATGTTAGATAAACAAACACTGCAGCTAAAGCAAGGTTTGAATTCGACAGAATACATGGTATTTTCAGTTTGTTAATTTAGCACTGAAGAGATATGGATTTACTTTCATTTTAATAAAGGACCAAATATTTAAGCTTTTATTGTTAACAATGGTGAGACTGAAATGGACTTCAAAATGTGTAGCTGTCCATATGGATGATAATCTGAAGGTTAGAGTCACAGTAATGACTGGATAGTCACCAGTTCAAACCCCCAGATGAAAATTTACATACTTCCCATCTTATGTCTTTCCCTTGAACATTGCACTTGACCTCCCATCTATTTTCCTCAAGCAGTAAAAGAGTGAGGTTGCATTGAACAGAAAGGGGTGAAAATCTTTTTTAAGGCTGTGACTATAAATCTCTTCAGTTCTTTATAGTCAGGTAGGTGCTCAGCACTTTCATTTTTATTTAAGTAATAGAGGAAAAGCAAGCAGTGTGAACCTACTCCTATATTCTTTGACTACTGCAGCTTTTGATTTGCTGTACCCTGGACAGTGATGGGGAACCTGCGAAAAAAAAAAAAAAAACTAAAACATTTGTGTGAAATACAAACCATTTCATGCACACGAGTGAGCAGCAAATTGAATAATGAATTGTAAATGCTCCATCTTTTTGCTACTGTAAGTATTATGTGCAGCTTACCAACATCATGATGAATGATTTGTGGGTAACTAGACCTAAAGTTTTAGTTCTCACCATTGTTTACTTCTGCAATTTTAATCACTCAGTTGTCTCTTGCAATTAAAACAGCTGACAGGCCCAAAAATTACTTCCAGTGTGTCTTGTTGTCAATATCGCCAGTACAAGGCAAATAATTTGCTTTTTTTTTTCCTGACAATTCAGGTGACCATGGATGCCTTCAGCTCCAAGGATATGGCCATGAGGGTGCAGAAGAAGATCCTCAGCAGCATGGCCAACAAAACCTCTGTCCAAATGTTCATTGATGACGCCACCAGTGACATCCTGGATGAACTGTATCGTGTCTCCAAAGAGTACTCTGGAAATAAAAGCGAGGCTCAGAAAGTCATCAAAAACCTGATCAAGATTGTGGTGAAGATAGGCGTGCTGTTCAGAAACAACCGTTTCAGCACAGAAGAGCTGAGAGTGGCCCAAGAATTTAAGAAAAAACTGCACCAGGGGTCCATGACGGCAATCAGCTTCTATCAGGTACATTTCCACACATTAACTTTTAATGTCCATGATATGCACCGAGTTTAGAAAGCCAGATGTTAGAGTTAAGAACATCTTGTTATTCAGTGATCTGAAACAAATGCAATGTAGTCTGCCAAGAATTCTTCCAATTAAACACAGATATTTAAATAAATTAATCACAGAGGCACAAGGACAAGAGAAAGCTAATTGAACAGGGACAAAACATCCACTTTAGCTCATCAAAACAGATGATATGAACTTCAAGTACACAATGAGTAGCTACATAGTTTTTCTACTCTATTCAAGAGCCAACTTATACTGTATTTGTGGCGCGCTTGCTATGAAGTGTGGCCTAAATTTAACTGCTTGTCTCCATCTCTGCTTTCATAAAAATATGACTGGACATAAATAGGGCGGTATCACACAGGGTGTTGCTCGTTTCTTCACACACTCAAGATGATGTTAAACATCACACTAGAGTCACATTTCTAACATAAATATATCTCCTGACTGATCTAGGTGGACTTTACCTTCGACAAGACAGTGATGGAAGAACTCCTGACCAGCTGCAGGGACCTGCTGCTGACACTAGTCAATACCCACCTCACCCCTAAATCCCACAGTCGCATCAACCATGTCTTCAACCATTACTCTGACCCCGATCTCCTGACCAAACTGTATGACCCCAGTGGCCCTTTCCGTCCAAACCTCATCAAGATTTGCAAAGGACTCACCAAACTGTTAGAGGATGGGACAATATGACATAGAAACAACATGGCAGACAGACACTGGGAGCTCTACAAGCTGACTCAAAGACCCTAAAGTGGACAAAACTTGTCTTACTGCTGCTGTGGACTGGCAACGTTAAGACGAGAGATTTAAGAACAAACCTGCTGTTCTCAAAGAACATGGGATAAAATTTAAGTTGGTTGAGTCATTCCTCAAATTTTTTTTGTTTATAGGCGATATATACTGTGGTATATATCCCCTACTTGTCTTTTCAGACAAATTTCACAAAAACCAAACTTGAATATAAACATGTTTATACTATATCAGTTGTTTTATTAGATTATGAAATGTCATCCAATGTTTTAGTCGCAACTATGAAATATTTCATTCACAACTACTGATGGCTTGTATTTTGAAGAGCACGACTTCCATAAAGAAAACAGTGAGGGAACATAACACAGCGCTGCCATCTGGTGGTCCAGATGATGCTACAGTGACTGTGACTGTGTTTACTACGGCATTGCTGAAGACAATACAGCCAATAATAAAGCATGTAACTCCCACCATTACTTCGCAGTTCCATGTTTAGAAGCATCAACAAAAAGACCGACTGCTACATGGTGTTGTCTGCACGAGCTTCGATGTAAATCCCATAATTCATGTTTTTCTGAGAAATGGATTACAGTCATCCGCTGACATTAGTACAGGTACTACTCTTTGGCTTTCCATTGCTGCACTGAATATCAATAGACAAAAGGAAGTCACGTTCTGCTTGGTCTCCATCTCATGTAATAATAAATACTGCAATTTAGGGTTTGCCTGGAAAGCGATTTTCTACTTTGTGCAAGCAATAATGTGGAGAAAAGCTAGTTGAACTACTACACTACAGAAACGCATTTTTAAAGACTAAGTGCTAATGAGACTCTGGAGTTACCTTTGCTCATCTTTTTAAGATCAATGTAGACAAACATGTGCATACGGTATTTAGACCTGAACCTAGACCTTTATTTTAAAATGAACTATATGACACAAACAAAAAATATTCCCATAACAAACAGTACAAAAACTGATGTCAAAATATTTATTCAGAAAAACATTTTTCTTAAACTTTGGCTACACTGAACTTTAAATTCTTCAGCAGGGACAAAAGTATTTTGTACTTTACAAGGCTCAAGGTTTTAGTCAGAAAACCTGGTGTTATCAGACTGTGAGGTAGAAAATACACATGTAAATCAGAAAAATCAGATTACTACACATGCACACAAACCACATCCTGAGGTAACCAGATGAACAGTGATGTGACTAAAACATGTGCCTGTGAAGTTAAATTTAATTCTTATCTCAATCATGTGAAAACAAACCAAACAGCTACAGGCCATTTAAAGATGGTCATAATCTACAGTAGGTCTCAACAAATAAATAAGGGGCTACACAAGTGCGATTTTCATTCAAAAAGACTTGTTAAAAGGCCATTTCTCTTCCCATAACAAGGTTGACAGTATATTAAATGGCATCATGAGAAGACTTTTAGGCTTCAAGTTCATATAGCAGCAGGGGCTCATCAGACATCTGTCCCTTTATCTGTAATGCTCTGTGTTCTGGGAGGTCAAACCCTGCAACATGGCTTTCTGGAAACATTTTTGTGATGGTCAGAGTGGGACATGGAAACTTGTCACAGCTCAAAGATCTCATCTTCCCTATCTCTCAGTTTCTTGGTGAGTCTGGTGACAGTGAGGGGTATTGCCCTGTGTGCCACCTGCATTCTCGAAGATGAAACCTGTGACCTTGTAAGAGGCCACCACTCTGATGTCCTGCTGGTGCAAGCTGCATCTAGGGCGGCAACCCTGTGAAGAATAAACCGATGAAGAGATACAGTAAATGTGAAGACTGATACGATTCACACAATCAGCCTACATTCATCTGTGGAAGCTTTGAAAAACTGCCTCTTGCCATTTAGTTTCTGAATCATCAATCACCAAGTTCTGATGAATTACATTTGCATGCAACTGCCATTTCTTATCAGCTTTGCTTTCAGTGGCAAAATATAGAGCCACCGGAAAAGCAAGCTTATTAGTAAAGCACATTTTCATAGAAAAAGGGAACTCAAAGCACACATAAAACATTAAAATGCTAATTAAAAGAACAAAAGAAGATTTAAAATAAGATCAAATTAAAAGTATACACATAGAACAGAGACATGAATTAAAAGCAGTGGGAAGAACAGTCTTTAGCTTAGTGTATAATAATACTGGGTATAGGAACGGAAAGGCTAAAAGCCCTTTCGCCATGTTTATTTTGAACTCTGGCCACTAGTTGACCAGATCCGAGACACCTACTAGGCTTCAGCAAATATATCTCTGATATACTCTGGGCCTTGATCATTGGGAAACTTGTAGACAATAAGTAGAGCCTTGAATTCTGTATTTAACTGGACCCAATAATTGAAGTAATGTGTTCTCTCTTCTTGGTGTTTGTCACTATTCTATCAGAATGTCTAATGGTCTGAATACAGAGGCAGTCAGGAGTGCATTAGAGTAGTCCACCCACTAGAAGTGAAAACAATGTGCTTTTCTAAACCATGTTTAGAGATAAAGTTTCTCATGTTTTAAGATGATGAAGAAGAAATGGCTGATAGGAATGTGGAGGTGCTTTATGGATAGAACTACCCTCTGTAGCACCCCATGTCGATGTCAGCATCAAAATTCAATTCTATACCTCATCATAACAACCACATTAACATACAGCACAGTGTATGCTAAATACATATTAATGAGAATAGTGAGAGCCATAAAACTTAGCTAAGGGTTTTATCTATGGTGGAAACTGCACACTGGCATTTTGAAAGGAAGGATTATATACACTCATCAGCCATAACATTATGACGACAGACAGTGAAGTGAATAATGTTGATTATCATGTTACAGTGGCACCTGCCAGTGTGTGGGGGTATATCAGTGAACATTCAGTCCTCAAAACTAAAGTGCTGGAAGCAGGAAAATGGGTAGCGTACGGATCTGAGTGGTGATGGCTGACGACTGGGTCAGTGCATCTCCCAGACTGCAGGTCCTGTGGTCTGCAGTGGTTAGTACCTACACCAAGAGTGGTCTAAGGAAGGACAAACAGTGAACTGGATGCCCAAGGCTCACTGATTGTGCGATTTTAAATTTCAATTAGCATTTTCAAAAGATTCCCGTTTGCTCGAATCTTTGTTAAAATGGTTGAAAATGAGAAATACTGTACATTGGCCAGGCAGCATGGTGGCATGGTTAGCGCTGTTGCCTCACATCAAGAAGGTTCCAGGTTCAAGGCCTTTCTGTGCAGAGCGACCCCGTTCGGGACTAAGCGGTATAGATAATAGATGGATGGATGTGCATTGGTCTCTATGAAGAGAAACATTCAGTGGCTATAGCGGTGATATCACAGCTAGAGTGAGGAGGCTATTGAATTTGTCTTTAAAAAAAAAAGAGATCTCTAACTTGTCTTCATGACCAGTTTTCACTCCTTTGTCATAAGATTGTCACTGAATGAGCGACACATTTGTGCTTTTCCTGACAATACAACTCTGGAAGCAAACAAATTCACACAGGATACACAGTGAGCTGCAGTGACACGAGTGCCAACCAACTGCCACTTTGACTAGGCAGGGGGCCATAATGTAACGGCTGGGGAGTGTACTTTCAGTATACCAATACTTTTGTAGCTCCGCCTGAACTGCAACACAAAAGCACCTATAATGACAACACTTTGGAACTCTGTCATGCAACAAACAGAAGGAGTGTGTCTGGTCAACTAGTATAAACAAGTAAACAGTGAGAGCCCTGCAGCCATACCTGCTCTCTGCTTTCTGGCATCCTCTAACAGCAGCCTGGCTGGACTGGCTTATCAAGTCATCCAACCTCTTCAAATAGTCCACTGGAGTGAGGTCAGCTGCTCTGTCTTTACAATCCTCTTGCTTGTTGTCTGAGGAGCTTTCAGTGTCCCCATTTTGAGTAGAACAAGAATTGTCTTTTTCACTGTCCTCTGCAGCCAAATCCATCCCGTTACTGCAGTCATTCAAGTCTGTTAGCACAGGGATTGACAAGGACTTCCTCAGGAATATTGAGTCATTGGTGTACAACCTGTTTGCTCTTTTGATCTGCTCCATCTGTAAGCAAGAAATACCTTGTCAGTCTTTTGAGAACATGCTCCGCTTGTCTCACTTAAGACAAGCATATATACATGTACAAATAATGCTTCGTGATCAATTCATCTGCAGACTATTTTCTCCATAAGTTGATTGACTGTAACTATTTGAAAACAGTAAAACATTTTTTATTTCCTCCAAAAGTGACATCTTTAGATGTTAAACAATAGCCCAAAATCCTAAGATATTACGTTTTCTATCATGTATGCCTAAGAAAAACAAATTATTTCCAATTAAAACACTGGGAACATCAAATATTTGACATTTGCGGTTACAAGTAGCAAATTGAGGATTAGTTGGTTATCAGAACAACTTTCTGTCAATCTTGTTGCAGCCATTGTATATATATATATATTTTGTACATCCAATGTCAAAGCACTATACGTTTCTACATAGGTTTAAAATTAACTGCTCCTAGCACAGAAAAGAAACATGACTGACTAAAACAGCTGCAAGATTAACTGTTAAACTGGTTCATACTTACAGACACTCCATATTTCAGAGCCAGGCCTTGTAGAGTCTCTCCTGGCTGAACTTTGTGTTCAATGCATCTCTGGCGAAGCGCAGATACCGGAGACTGAACCAAGCTGCTGTAGGATGTCGTGCGGCTCCCCGGGAGCAAGTTGTTCCCCTCGGCTGACAAAGGTGCTCGCTCGCCGGACATGGACATGGTGGCGGTTTGTGAACGAGAGTCGAGTTGGTAACCGATCAAACGGTGTTAAAGTACGGTTGCCAACAAATTTACTTTTGTTCACATCACGAGAATACTGCTTACTTTGATTAGATCCGGTGACTTCATAAAAGTAGCAGCTTAATTAGCCTGCTAGCTAAGTTAACACAGACTCGTTCTTTCCTTCTGAGTGTTAACCTGTGACTGTATCGACAAACTGTCGAACCTCTGCCACAGGGGAAACACAACAACGTATTAAACATTAACTTTAACCTACCTTATACTTCAAACAAACGCTCGAAAAGTTGCTGAGAAAAATATTAGCGTCATTTTTTTTTCATGTATCCTGTAGTCAGCTGTCTGGTTCCATATGTTGCTATTGGTCCCATGACTCGTCACTGGCGCTGCATTCAAACTATTGGAACATCGGATACGATTTGAAGGCTTATATAGGTTACACTCTTGGGTTTGAAACGGAATTAATAGCATACGTTGCCATGCAGTGGTTTCTTTCTGTCTTATTTTACTGGTAAACACACTTGACAAACGTTATGTATTTAAAGCTATTTTTAAACGACATGCTTGTTGTTATTTTAATAAGATGCTTATATTTTCCAGCCACGCTTTGTACAGGGAACGCAAGAGATATTAGCTCGTCGTTGTTGTGATGCTGAAATCGGTGATTCCACTTGGCTTTTAATCCCTGTTTCCCAAGATAGTCCACCCTTTCATTCCCTTGCACCCCCACCCCTGAATGAGCTGGTATCCATAGGAATTCCACCTCGATTCCTAGACAAACAATAAAGCACCTTTTTTCATATAATACTGGGATTTATGTCTTGAAATTTTTGTTTCTCATCTTCAAAAAACAAGACTGACCATTTAAAGATATGTAAATAAACTATTGGTGGAAATTTTGCTCCTTATGTTAGCAATCTGCCAGTAAAAGCATGCAGTAAAGCAAAAAATACAAGACTATACTGTATATACCTATTTCTGCCTGATGTACATAAAACCCTGATATGACTCCGGTGCAACAGGTGGCGGTATGCATCTAAATACGTTGTTTGCGACCCGTCATTAAGATGAGTGAAAAAGAAGAAGCAGAAGAAGACATTAGTTTGCCAGCTAACCTTTTACTTGTATGTTTTGAGATTATCAACCATATAGATTATGTCGTTTAAGAGGGAAGGCGATGACAAGAGTCAGTTGAACGTCCTGAAGGTAACAGCTGTGTTTAGCTTTTGTAGAAGAGACTTCAGATGAGATTCTAGTCAACGGATTCTACATGTTGTTATGGTTAGCATCCTGCTAACTAACAACGCATGCTTATTGGAAACCACCGCTTTATTGTGTTTCAGAAACGACGCGTAGCAGATCTACTGTCTAATTTTATTCCAGAAGATGAAGCGGCTCTTATGAAGAATGGAAGGTGGGTTAAACCTGATTTAACGTCATACTCTTTGGATTGAAAGTGTTATAGCATGAGGTTATTGAAGACAGTTAACATGTAACAACTGATGACATCACGGTGACATTCAACGAGTTAAGTTGGTTTCTAGATACACCTGCCTTGTGTGCTCCTACCGTCCTGTGTTTGACACAGTCGATATGCTAACGGTCCACAGAAAGGGGAAAAGGCACCTGGAAGGTGAGAGTTATTTTGTGCCATTTATTTCTTATTATTAAGTGTAACTGTCTCAATAGGCAGTATGTCTATAGCTTTACAAAATATTTGCCATTTATGCCTGCAAATATGTTTTTATTTTATTATGGGTTAGCCAGTTCAATATTTTATTGATTATTTCCCCTCCATTTTATCAATCATTTGGAGGGGAAAAAAGAAAGACGTTTTTAAAAAATATGTCCATCATAGTTTCTCTAGTTTAAGGGGATGTCTTGTGTTGTCTCATCAACAGTCCAAATCCTAGAGATATTCGATGTGTCATAGAAAACTAAGGAAACCAGAAAATATTCACATTTGAGAAGCTGAAACAATAACCTACCTTGATACAACCTTACATGTATAATTTTACATTTACATATCTTAAAGTAGTTATGAATGGCTTAGAAAATAAACACGGTTCTTTCTTTTCCTTCAGGATTAAAAGTATTTTATGGCAAGAAAGCAGCACTGCAGAATGAAATAACAAAAAGGCAACATGAAAACTACGTCCAGGTTGAAGACACTGGGCAGGTTGAAGACACTGGGCAGGTTGGTATGAGCATCAGTTGTTCTGCTCTGTTAAGTGGTTTAGTTGACTCCCTAAGCAAACTTTTCAGAATCCTTTGACACATACGACAAGTGCACGTCATGTTGTTATTCCTAAATTATGATGAATCATTTATTTTCTGCCTGCTGAATGAACTGGCTGAGTCATTTCTGTTTGTCCTGAGTTCCACTGTTTCTCTGTACAAGTGTCAGTGTTGTTGCATACATTTATAGGTGTACAGAGAAACTGTGGAACCCAGGAACAACAGATATGAGTCAGCCTGGGTCAATGAATCATTTGGGAATGACAACATAAACTGAACAAACTTCTCTGACTAACTGAGACTATTCAGGCATGTTGATGTCTTGTGTCAAAGGCATTGTGTGGTACCCTTGTGGCTTCCATATGACCCTGACAAATTAACACTGTGTCAATCAATTTAAAGTTATTGTCTTTTGTGGAAAAAATAAACAACAATTGACAGAGCATTTTGTAGGGTTAGCTACCAGTAGCATTTGAGAAATTCAAGATACACAATTGTTACTGTGATTTTAGGGAACCTCCAGTTCAGCCCCTTTATTGGCACAAACACGGAAGCTTACATATCATGCTCTGCTAAAGACTAAACCATACAGCAGCTGCCACAGGAAAACCAGGTGAGTGAGATGCCTATTTAACATACAGTACACATTTCCATATATATTTTCACTCCCAGAAAAGGAAAAGGCGAAAACACAAGTTTAAACATAGATCTGTCATTTTTAAGCACAAAATCTGAAAAAGGACCGGCAAACATCAGCTCAGATCCCAGTGTCAGCGCCTGCAACAAAACGCTATCGCTGCAAATCAACACATGTCGGAAACCTGAAGTTTCAAACAGCGTGCCACCAAGCAGTGCCAGTGGCCTCACAGCAGGTAGAGTCGATTACAGCGGTTGATCTGTGAATCGTCAGATTTAGAGCTGATAACAGTGGACATGTTTTGTTTTCTGTAGTCAGTGAAGGTTCAACCCCATCAAAAGACATTAAGGTACCTCAGTCTAAAGTGACACAGGAGGAAAAGCCTCTAACATCCCAGAGGAGGCAAGAGCTGGAGCACTACCTCAGACTTAAAAGGTTCTGATCAGTTACTGTATATGCTTGACGTGAGACTCAGTATTGCTGCCTGTATTTTACTGTGCCAGCCTCATAGTCTTTAAGATAGTATGCTTTGCTTTCTCTTTCTTTTAGTGCTGGATGGCTACAAGACCAGAGTGGCAAGTGGATTAAAGACGAGAATGTGGAGTTTGATTCAGATGAAGAGGAGCCTCCTTTGCTTGCCCCCCTACCCACAAGTCAGTGAGAGGACTAAGAACTGTGGGAAAGCACAGATAAACTTGTACTACAGTGGCATGATCAGAAGTCACCCTGTTGTTTGAAACATCCAGAGCTCCACATCCAAGGACTCTGTCTCTCAACCACCCATCAACATTTCACTGAATTTCATGGTTTTCTAATTCTACAGCACCTGTTTAATCCGTTGACCTACTGCTTGGAAGTAATAACAGCATGCACCTGTTTGTTTTAATTGCACCAGGAAACCCACAAAAGTGCCACTTTTACCAGATTAAATTTGTTACTTCAGCCTAGTGAAAATACGTCATTTTGTTACCACATGGGACGACATCAAGCAGTCTGAAAGATATTATAATAAGAGAGGCTACCATTACCAACATTGTATTTACAAAAGTACTTGCTGGCGACATGGAGACATCACTACAACAACGTCTAACAGACCGGACGATCAGACAAACCAACATTTTTTTCCAGAACCACTGAATTTGGAAGTAAAACTGAACGACTGAAAATCTTTCCCTGCTCAGAACAGCTGTGTTCACACAAATGTGACAGTTACCGAAGGGCGAAGATGAATCAGGAGGGAAATCTGTAAACCAGGATGGAAGTTTACAACGAGCGGTTTGGGTACTATTTTAACTGTTCGGGTTCATTTTCACTTCCAGATATTTTGACTAGCCTGTTTTTTTTTGTTTTTTTTACTGTTTGACTGCAGGTGTTCCTTGCTCTCACCTTGACCTAGCAAAGCAACATCCTGTCTGAGCAGGATGTGTTGAAACATTGGTGTTAAAATGCTCTCTTTTGTAACTCTAAATAGTGTCAAAGCTGAATTGTAAAACCTCCCCGACATCAGCCTTATGTCTGCGTCATAGATCCTTTGGAATCAGAAGAGCAACCCTGAAACTGAAAGCTGACTTTTGGGCAGAGTGAGGTCACCTAGACAAAGATTGAGACTGTTTCCATCACCCTTTTCAGCTGAGTCCAATCACCTCTGTCAGCTTCACTATAAATTGGCAGCAGAACTGGTGCTAATCTGGGCAGAGAAGCCACCTTTTAGCATTCTCCACAGGATCTTCGTTGAGTGCCCCTCTCAGCTCAGCACAAATTGGACAACATCCTCGGGGTCAGTGGGAGGGGGGCGCAGGGACTTGGCATGAGTTAGTTTCTGATGACACCGCTAATATGTGTCAATAGCACACCATTATTTTGGAGCTCAATGCGTCATCACCCCATGAGGAGACATTTGAAGATCTTTTTCACTCGTCATGGAGACTTGAAATATAAACAGCAGTTAAATGTTTTGAAGACAAATATATCAATGCTTAAATTCTGATGACCTTTTACTACCATGTCTGCCCTTTTACTGTTTCAAGTTGCACAGTCCACTGACACAAAAAAAAAAAGACGCAAATGGAGCACAATATGGTGAATGTCTGTCACAGAGCGCATAGCACTGAACACTACAATCCAACAACAGACCTGCGTTTTACTGCGAAACAGCAAAGTGGTGAGGCAACACTGACTTTAAATCGCTTTAAGATGCCAAATGTCAGCGCAGCCTGTATGGCTTTAATGTGACCTTTGAGAAGTCTAAAAATCAATGTTCAGCCTATTAATGGTGGCCATGTCAAACCTGACATTAAATCAGAGCACTTTAACAAAATGAAAAAAAAAAACAGGTTAAAGAAACCAGGTGGAGAAGGCAGGAACCTGAGCAATGCTGTCAAAATCCTCAGAGGTTAACAGCTGTTTCTGTTCATAAATCTGCGGATGCACAGGGGAGCAACCATCTTAACATTGGCTCTTATATTTGGAACAAGGAAACTCAAGCCTGATGTACCAGGTTACGTTTGCCATCAGGGGGAGAAATAAGTCAAGTGCTTGAGAGAAGTCAGAGGATCAGGATAGACTTTAAACGATTAAACCGTAGTGAATCTTTATAAGAAGTGTCCGTCTCTAAAGTGCTGCGGTATTATCACTTTATTATTAAGTGTGCTATACTTTAAATGATGGAACTGTTGAGTCTGAAAAAATCCACGTTTTGCTGTAGAATTCCTCTCAAATGGTAAACATTTCCTTTTCAGAGAAGCCCTTCTCTAATTCAGACGGGTGATGTTGCAGCGACACAGTTATCAGTCTAAATTATTATAATTTCAAGTTCATTTGTGCCGAGTTCTTTTAACCTTTCCCTGGCATCCAATTTCAGGTGTAGATACTGAAATGCACCAAAGTATGTGCTGCTTTGATGCATTTTAGCCAGTATTTATTAGCAATAATATTCATATATCATTATAAAATGGTTAAATAAGTTGTGGAGACAATAAAATTAAACTTGCCAAATGTTTACAAAAGATAGTTGAATACATATTTTTATTTAAAGTATTTACAGATTGTTTGCTTCCTACAGATAGCACCACATTGAAAATGCTTTCATGAATGAAGAGTTAACCTTGTGTTCGGGATGATGTTGGAAATGCCGAAACTAAAAGCACAAAAGAAAAAGACACCACATTTTGCTTGTGACCTATACATGCTTTTATGATGAATTGAGCAGTCTACAAAAAGCTGGCTGCGTTAAATGAAATGAAATGGCTGGACATGGATGTTAGGTTAGTGGATGCACTCTGACCCAGTCTGATTCCATTCAGCTGTGGTGCACCACACTGACAAAGCTGGCACAAGGCTGTCGATGGCAGTCACTGCAGGCTCCAAGTGGCTGAAGTGCTTGTTCTTCTATTTGCTCCTTGTCACTTTCATCTTAATCTCTGCCGGCGAACTGCAATATGACAATAACGATAAAATTATAACATGAAATAATCTGTCAAAACGATGGTTAGAGATTACAATGCATAAAAACAGCCAGCATTTATTACATTTAAATCTTAAAGCATCTTTTCCCATAAATGGCAGCCACTATTTCCCACATTTTGATTTCAGCTAAATGTGACAGCGTTCTCATCAAGTGCACTTGTAATGTTTCTCACTCATGTCGTTGTTTCGTGTGATGGCCATGGCAGCTCTGGCGCGGGGACCCTGCTGGGTGAAGTGGTAACCGAACTTGAGGATGCTGGAGTTGTTCTCCAACATGGAGGCAATCTCCATCTCAACCGAGTCGCCCAAGGTCT